AATGTATTACAGGTATAACATTGATAGGTACTGAATACGTCGATAGTCTTGTGCCTGGTAAAATTTATGCTTCATTTGGGTTAATTTTGAAAACTCATGTCTTTCAATTAATTCACATTTAATTTAATGAATTGGTGTTTAATGTATTTATTGTGTTATTAAAGTCGGTAGAAAACAAACTTTTATTACATTGAACTAAACAAACAGATCAATGAAAGCAAAAAGTGTGTCATTATTTCATTGACATTAAGACTCCGAAGTCATCCAATTCTAGATCTTATCGTTATGTTTATCTCTAACTCTATATAATTAGTGCACTCTTTATTGCAATGCCCTTATACTGTACATAAATTTTATACCCCTATATTAATATCCTAATTGATATCAAACTAATTATTTAATCAAACCCTTATACAAATACCGGAAACTATTTTATATGGATTTGTATTTAAGAAACTATCTGATTGTGAAAATCAATTTAATCAAATCTGATTTAGACTATTCAAACATTATACAAATCTAATATAAGTTATTTAACGTCTTAATTGTTTGTTTATATATTTTCTTAGTTTGTGTACTTATACAGTATTAATAATAATATATTGTGGCAGTTATTTATTTGTATGTTACAAATGAATGCTTTATTACCGTATTTATAGATTCAGCCGATTATGTATTGACTTAAAGGATACTTTCTTGCAATACATATGCGAATTAATATCAATACTTATTTGCTTATGATTTGTTGTCATATTTAACAATACGGTCTATTTATATAGTGAACAAATCGTATGCATTATGAACTCATTTCATAATTTATAACAATTACTGGACACAAGTGTGTGAATAGAGAATAAGAAAAATATTTGCCAATTATGGGCGACATATCGTATCGATTGAAAGTTTTACATTGTTTTTGTCAATTGAATACTGTTTTGAGTTAAGATCAATGACTGAGTAAAACACGGGTTTCTCTTTAGTAGTCGCGATGTTGTGTTGAATAATAGGAATACTAATAGAAGTACATCTTCTCGGAGCTCAGATTCCTGCGCTCTGTTGTGATGTTGTGATCAGACTATTAATGTATTGTTAGTATCATTAATATAATCTATTCGGAAGGGATTTCTGCCATTTCTAGATATGGACTCAAATTAGCCAAAGTATTAGATGTCTAATGAAGACAAATATGTTTTGAATATTATACAGAAAAAAAGAAATGTCGACAAATGATTGCTATATTAATTAATTTCTAGATTGCCTATTTGTATATTGGGTTATAATTTTTATATTTTTAAATATGTGTGTAAAATAATTGATGATATAAATGGGCAGTACAGTGCTGTACTGTACAGATGTAATGTTATCTAAATACTATCCTTAACTAAAGAGTTTTGTAAGACAAATATAATTGATATAAAAAGTTCATAGCATTAGACATAAGAATAGGTATTCGGAATACATTATAGTCGTGAACACAATAAATAAATAGTGAGTCTGTATTGCATTGTATTTAACTGTTATTACTTTATAGTGAAATGGGTTCTCAATTAGACTTCATTGAGTTTATTGAAACGAATGATGTGTTGTTAAAAGTGTTTTTTCTCTGAGCTAACGGTGCCTCTCATTAATCTCTATTGCATGCTATTTGTCCGCCTCTAAAAATACACTCAAATAATCACTATTACTATGAATGGGTGACAAAAATCATTGATTAACGAAATTTGTTTTTGCCATAAAAATCGATTGTGTTTTCGAGTCGCTATTTCACGGCTATACCAAAGTTGGCTAAAGTTTTTTGGGCTACAAATAGTTTGGACTTTATTTGAAAAATGTACTTTATTTGTACTTTTGTATTCATGGCACATTTTATATATGATATCAATCGAGAACGAGTGCAATTCAACAAAAATTCAATATCTATTAAATAATTTAAACACAAAAGTAATGGCTTTTTGTTTTTTGATGAGTTATATAAATATTTGCCATTAAATGGTTAACATTATCGGTGATAATGATTGGTGTTTAAAAATATATGCATACATTTTAACGGTCATAGAGTTTTGTTTTAATGTTAATATTAATTGAATAATTAAATTTTTATAAAAGGTTTAAAATAAAGTCAATTGAATGAATGAAAATGGCTCTTAATATAGAGTTTGAGGTATTTGTAATTTACTAAAAATTGGACATGGTTGCCAGACAATGGTGTATGTCTGATGGGTATGTGGTGGGACCGGAACTATTTTTTATTAACAAATTAATATTCTGTCAAATATTTAAACTTAAGTTTTGACTAGTGTTAAAAACTGACTATAAAAATTATTTTGGTGATTTGAAAACATTAATTTGGTTGTAAATAATTACTGCGGTTGTAATTGTAATTAAAGGTACGAACCAGTTGTGTACCAGGTTGAATAATAAATTTTGATAAACGTTTAAAATAATAGTTAAAGCCAATTGAGTGAATCGATTGGTGCCTAACATACAGGACACGTATTTGTAATTTACTAAAAAGTTTGTTTTCAAATGGCATTCAATTCAATTTGGTGTAAAACTAAAATAGTTGACTTTAAAAAATACAAAGCTTTAAATAGAAAATATTTTAAACAAAAAATATTATGTAAAACAGGGCTTAAGCTCTGGTATTGAGTGATTGCATGAATTAGAGGGCAATTTGCAAAAACACAGACTTAATACGTTTGTGTAAAACATATTTTTTGCTTAATAAACATAAAATATATGAAACGAACGGAACATTTGCTAAAAGCATTGGCTCTGATGTTTGAGTAGTGAAGTGAACGGCAATAATAAATATAAAGTCAAGTGTAATGTGTGTTCAGGCGATGCCATGTATTGAAACCCACAATATATGTATTGTTAAGTCATATTTATTCTGGTCAGACAGTCATGCAGATGGGATGCACTGGTATGTCGGTGTGTAGACACACATACACCACATCCACATCCAATTTAATCGTAATCCACAACACACACTACCCGTCAGTGCGAGGGGTAATAAAAAGCGAGCGCTTTATCATTGTATCGCTAAATAGTTTTGCATTTAGTTATACAACAAAAGAGATAACAAAAGACAACACGTCTTGGATGGAGAATAACTGCTATAATGACAATGACTTCATAAGACTGAATGCCAAACACAACCACTCTTTACCCTCTCATCGAATTTGTCTCAAAAACAATAATTTATTTAATGACTTAAGTCTTAATAGTTATGTCTTCTTTGTATTATAGGCTATAACTTAACTTAACTTATCTCAACTCAGCCCTAGTTTTGATGACAATTTTGTTTTTATATATAAATTGGTTTTATCGTCAAAATCATTAACTTCTAATCAGTTCTCACTTTTCACTCTATATTTGCGATGAATTTATTAATTGAAATAATTATGCGTTTGTGAACTGAGAGTAAAACTATTGAATTATTTTCGCAGATTATAGCCATGTGAATGGTGTTATGATTTTTGAGAGTTTATTTGCATTTTACAAAACCAGTAAAAATATTTTTTAATTTTATGTTATAGGAATTTAATAATATTTCAATTAAATTCTGGTATAAATGGTAAAATGGATTGGGGTGCCAGACTACTGTATATCTGGTGGGCGTGTGGTGGGACCCCTACTATTACTTTTAAATAATTAATATTAAATTGAATGGCTCTCAATGATAAACACTAGTGTATGGAAAAGACAATGAACTTCCACAACAGTCTTTCCATTTGTGATATTTATAATATAGAAAATAATTTGCAAATAATTTGAAATTGTAACTTAATCTTTATATTTAAATGATTTTATCACAGTTTGTATACATTCATTCAATGATTTACATTAGTTTTTATATAAAAATGAACGAAAAGTGAGAAATAAGATAAAAATTGAAATGTCTTTTTGTTGTTGTTGTATGACTTGAATGGTTTGTTTGATTGTCAGATATAACGATCAGGCAATCCATACGACTCTGAGTCAAGAACTTTGATGTTATGCCAAATAGAGCAGAGAGTTGTTGTCTATTGTAGTGTTTAGTAGAGCACCGGTTGGTTGTAACTCATGAGTTAAGCCACTGAAAAATCTTATGCCAGAGAATCGCTAAAAGATATTAACAGCCATAAGACAGTGTTATATCATATGAGTTATTAAGCTTATAATGAGAGCGAAGATATATATAGCATATATACATTTCGGTGTATGTGTCTGTCCACCAAAAACTCACTTTTGCTACTTATTAGACGTCTAAGTCTTATATTTTCTTGTTATCAACAGTAATAACACTTCTTTCATCCCTTTTCTGGCCATCCATTGCATCCACTCTTAATATCCTTGCATTCACTTAGATCTCAAACACCAAAACATTGGCTCCAAAAATATTGACAAATATTTTTCACTTCGTGTTCAACGAAATTCACTATATTTATAGTTGTGTTCAATTATTATTTACATTTAAACAAAATAATATCACTTCTCATAACTGATGACTACACTATTAAGTAAATACAATATAAACTAAAAGTCAAATAATAGATAGCATTAAGAAATATATCCAAATGAAGATAAAACGAGTGAATCCCATGTATAACAATAAAACTTCACGTATTGTTCGCTAAGTTTTTTCCAAAGTAGTCATTAATTGTCTAAAATATTTTTTGTTCATTCATTTATTTATAGGAATCAAACAAACGCTGTTTCTCTGAATGTTGCAATTTTTCACTATTATTTTGTTGCCGTTATTATAATTGTTGCCAAATATACCAATTGTGAGCCAAGAATGTCAAGAATTGCTTTTTCACACAAAATTAACACAAATAACAATATGTGTGTAGAAAAAGCGCAACAAATATCATATTACATTATATGGTATGAGCGCCAAAAAACTAATACATCACTCGTTATATAACTTTTACTTTTATTATATTTAGTGGCGATGAATGTGTTTAATGTTGAGACCACTTGTGATAAATGATGAGTGCATTTGAGGGCACGCGTTATATCTGTTGCATATCTGACTTATTTATATATGACTTATTTTCTTGTTATCCATTGAAAAATTAATGATTTGCTGCGAAAACTACATCTTTTTATCCATATATTAATAGTAATAACGTTAGAGTGAGTTAATCCACGCGACTGTCATGTAGTATAAAAAGGCACCGAAAACAATGCGTCCAAATGCTATACCTGTGATCAATGACTCCAATTAGCTATAAGAGCTTAACAGTGGTGTACTGTATGTATAGTACATATAATTATTGTATAAATTGTGATCTAATAACTTATTAAACGGCAATATATATGTAATGTACGTTTGTTGGGAGCACTACTTCTATCATCAATATTTGTATCATAATAGTTATTAGCGAGAGATAAATACCCAGTCTAAATGTTAAGTCACTATATCTTGATTCTATGAATTGCTCTCAATTAAAGGCTAATCTCTTATATTCTGTAATACATTAAATGTTGTCAATCTAATAGCACATTTCAAATTTAAAACTTTTTTTTATAAAACATAAAATGAAATATTTTCAAATGATTTATATTCTAAGGATTGAACATAAATATGAAAATGCTGTCCAATTAATACAGAAATCATTTTGTCGTTTACGTATAAAAAGCAAAAGCATTTGATGTCTACTTTTTAGTACTGAACAGATGTTTGTCTTTCAATATTTAAGTTATATTTTATCCGCAAATATAAAATATACATCTGCAGCAGTGATTCAGTACTACTGTAGTGATAATGATTTGATGCAAAATGAGTTGACATATTGCGGGAAGGGATGTGTTAGGGAAGGCATATGGGATGACAAACCATTGGCGGTGGCATAAGAGGCGAATAACGATGAGCTCTGTCTGCCGCCCGAAAACAGGACCAGTTCTGTGGTGTCGGTGCCAATAATGGTCGCATGAGTGGCACTACATCTCAGCCTCAGTTTGCCGTCAGAGGTCTGCAAATGTCAAGCAATACTAGTTATAGTAATATAATAAAAATCTTTATATCCCGATAATAGTGTATTTGTGTTTCGGATATTTAATAACAAAATAGCACATAAAACATAGCAATATAGCAATGTTGCTAAAAATAGTGTGTTTGGCACTGGTATGTTTGTTGTTGTGTGTGCTTGGTTGAAGTAATTGGTAATAGTTTGGACAGACACCTGATAGTGTTCTTTAGTGATTTGAAAGCGTAATCCCAAAACAGAGCCTTTTCTATGAGCTTCAAAGTCGGCGAAGTTGTCATAAATAGATGAACTGAACATTAGATTAGCGTTCGGTTCCTTAGGTTTACTATAAATGATTAGTTGAGTTTTGAGTGCCTGTGATATGAAAGGGAGAGCAATAAATACCGGTTAGAAATACAAACCGAAAAATTACTATCGATTTATACAAGAAAATAATCGTAACAAAAAAGATTTAACGAAAATGAGAATATTCTCGGTGTTTGCAACACATGAATAGTGTTGAAAAATAACGGATAACACAAAAAGGATTGAGTAATAGATGATAAAATTCTTGAGCAATACTTCTCTGCCATTAATGAACCACTCGAGTAGTGGTGGCGGCGATACGGCTGTTGTCGAGCAGTTCAGGTCCACGACATCCCCGATACTATATTTAATGTTATGTCCGTGTATTTGGGGCGGACTGTACTGCTCGCCCAGGGTCTCGTAATCCCCTTCTGTTTGCTGTAAACCCGCATATTTTCCGTGCTCTTCAATGACCAGCTCCTCAAAATTGACGCCATATATCTGGGTTATGATTGAGGAACACCTAAATTGAGGCATTCAATTATAATCAATTTTCAAATCATTCATTTATTTATAACAATTAAATTATGGTTATATAATTAATTAATACTGTTTAATTTTTGGGCTCATGTGATTTAAATTTTATGAAACTTAAACTTTGTCTAGTACAATAGTATCATGTCGTGTTATTGTTTATAATTAATTTAACAATTTATGTTTGTGATTGAAGATAATACAATATACAGTACATAAATCATCTTGAATTTTACAAGGGTTCAATTTCAAATAATTTTTCAATTAAATGTTGGTATTATTTTTGGTAAATTGGCGATTGAGAGATAGCCCAAAATAAATGGGTTCACAAATAGTAGTATAAAAATGCTTTTATTTCTATTCGCTTGTTTCGATCGATTGATTTATTTAGCATTTGCGGTAATAGTCTATTGGCATAAATTTCATTAATTTATTTAAATTA